TTAATAAGAAAAAAGAGCATGGCTTCTAGAGTGTGTGGGAGGTCACATTGTGTCACCTGTTGACTCTCTCATGTCTTTCTAATATGTAAATAATGTCTGTGCAAGACCACCATAGGCAGGGCCGGCGCGTCCATAAGGCGGCACAGGCGGCCGCCTTAGGGCGCACCGGCTCTGGGGGCGCAATATTTCAGTGACCGGCAGGAGGGAAGCTCTCCCTCCTGCCAGGCCACCTTTTGGATCCCCGGCGCGGCGTGCGGCTGTGCTGTGATCAGACGCGGCGAGGGAGCTCTAATCTCCACGCTCTGCTCCCTCGCGCGCTGTCTGCTGATACCGCGGGAGCCGGAATATGACGTCATATTCCGGCTCCCAGCCTCACTTTGCGGCGCGCGAGGGAGCTGAGCAGACCGCTCAGTTGAAGAGCTCCCTTGCCAGCCGCCCGCCCAGCAGCCACTGGACCACCAGGGAGGTAATGAACCCCTTCCCCCCCCAGCACTCCCAGAGGTAAGGAGGTGGGGGGGGGAGTGAATAAAAAAAAAAAATAAAGTGTTAATGTGAGTGAGTGTGTGCTTCTGTTAATGTGTGTGTGTGTGTCTGACTGTGAGTGTGTGTCTGCTAGTGAGTGAGTGTGTGTCAGTGTGTGTCTGACTGTCAGTGAGTGTGTGTTTGCCTGTTAGTGTGTGTGTCTGTTAGTGCGTGTGTGTGTCTGCTAGTGAGTGTTAGTGTGTATGTGTGTCTGACTGTGTGTGTGTCTGCTAGTGAGTGTGTGTGTGTCAGTGAGTGTGTCTGTTAATGTGTGTTTGTTAGTGTGTGTGAGTTTGTGTGTGTGTCTGCTAGTGAGTGTGTGTCTGTTAGTGTGTGTGTCTGACTGTTTGTCTGTTAGTGTGTATGTGTGTGTCTGACTGTGTGTGTGTGTGTCAGTGTGTGTGTGTGTGTTTCTGTTAGCGAGTGTATGCGGATCTGTCAGTGAATGTGAGTGTGTGTGTGCTAGTGAGTGTGTGCTAGTGAGTGTGTATGTGTGTGTCTGACTGTGTGTCAGTGAGTGTGTGTCTGACTGTGTGTGTGTGTCTGTTAGTGTGAGTTTGTGTGTCAGTGAGTGTGTGTCTGTTAGTGTGTGTGTGTTTCTGTTAGCGAGTGTATGCGGATCTGTCAGTGAATATGTGTGTGTGTGTATTTAGAAGGCGGGGCGGGGGGAAGGGTTGGGGGGGACTGGCGCGGTGGGGAGGGGGGGGGTGCCTGAGTGTTGTCCTGCCTAGGGCAGCACAAAACCAGGATACACCACTGACTGGACCCCAGGGAATGATTCATCATCCACACCAGCTCTCCAGGTAGGGAGGCTGGGTGGAAAATGTTTATTTATTAAAATAATTAGTGAGTGTGTGTATGCTTGTCTGTGTGTCTGTGAGTGACTGTCTGTGATTGAGTGTGTGTGTGTCTGTCTGTGTGTGTGTCTGTGTGTTAGTGTATGTGTGCCTGAGTGTCTGTGTGCCTGTGAGTGACTGAGTGTGTGCATGAGTATGTGTGTCTGTGAGTGTGTCTGTGAGTGCTTGTATGAGTACTGCATGTGAGTGTATGAGTGTGGCAGTGTATGTGTGTCTGTCAGTGTCTGTCAAATCAGTGAGAGTATCTTTGTCATTGAGTCTGTGTGTGAGTATCAGTGTGCCTGTCAATGAATGAGTGTGTGTCAGATCAGTGAGTCTGTGTGTTTGTCATTGAATGTGTGTGACTGTCAGTGTGTATACACCACTGAGTGTAGCGTGGTGGAACGCAGTACAGGAGTTTCTGTTTCCTGTACCCGGCCAGACTGACCGGAGGTGCTCACTGAGAGAGCACTCCCTGTCAGTCCGGCCAGGTACAGAAAATTGAAGCTCCTGTAGGGGATATCCTCCACTCGGCAACGCTACAAGAGAGGTAGGAGGCACACCAGGAAGGGGAGTGCGACCACTAAGGGGGTGGAGGGTGCACCAAGGGACGGGGAGGGGAGGGGAAAGAAACACCAAGGGACAGGAAAAAGAGGGGAGAGCTTAGAAGAACACTAAGGGACAGGCAAGGGAGGGGACCACTAATGGACGGGGAGAGGGGCTGGTTAAGAGGCACATAGGTGAAGATGTTATTTGGGGGGGGTGGAAAGATACATCTTCGCCTATGTACCGAAAAATCATTGCACCGGCCCTGACCATAGGTGCTGGTAGGTGCCGACATCTTTTTTGAATATCCAGCATACTGTCGAGGTCTGTGGGCAATATCGATTTACATCTACTGACTTGGTATACCATTTAGATAACAATGTGTAATTCATTTCCTGTAGGGGGATACTAGCATGAGACCGAGAAGTTGACTGGAAAATTCTAGTCCAGAGCTGAGTGAAAAATTTAATTTTTTGATATACCTGAGATTGTAGTAGTTGGTGGCATTGGGAAGTCAGTTGCAATGTTGGTTTAACAGATGAACACAGTTGTTCAAATTTTGTTTCCACCCTGTGTTGCCAATTCTGTAGGCTTTTAAAAAGTTGTTTATTTGGTAATATTGGAACGTTTGCGCTAATGTGTGGGGATCCTGAGTGACCAAGTTTTTAAGAGGTATTAATTCCTCAGCCTTGAAAAGGTTAGGTAAAGGTGTATATGGTATCATTTTTAACTGCTGCTCAGTGGTGAGTAATAAACCCGATATCCAGGGCCGGACTGGGGATACGAAGCAGCCCTGGAAAAAAATTTATGCCAGCCCCATAAGTCATTGTGCTATGTAGGGTGTATATATGTGTATATGTGTATATGTATATATATATATATATATATATATATATATATGTATATATATATATATGTATATATATATATATATGTATGTATATATATATATATATATATATATATATATATATATATATATATATATATATATATATATATATATATATGTATGTATATATATATATATATATGTGTATATATATATATATATATGTATGTGTATATATATATATATCTATACACACAATTGAAATAGTTGGCTGCACTCTCGGATTTCCTGAAAATGCAACTTTTATTGAAATATTTAAGAGAAGATCAATGTTTCAGTCCCTCTTGTGGACTTTCGTCAGGATCAGTTGATCTTCTCTTAAATATTTCAATAAAAGTTACATTTTCAGGAAATCCGAGAGTGCAGCCAACTATTTCAATTGCCTATATATATATATATAAATATAGGCAATTTAAATAGTTGGCTGCACACTCATGCTTACTACAGACAAGCTCACTGTACACACATGCTCACCACAGACAGGCTCCGACACACCCATGCTCCTTACAGACACGCTCACTAACACACACACACATATGATCCCTACAGACAAGCTCACTGACACACATACAAGCTCACTCACTAACAGGCACACACCCACACACACACAGGCTCCCTTACTAGCAGATGCGCGCACACACACAGGCAGACAGTCACTGACACCGAGGCAAACACCCACACATACAAAGACAGGCAGACAGCCACACACACATACACACACAGGCAGACAGTCACACACAGACAGTCACACACTCACAGTCACACACTCACAGTCACACACTCACAGTCACACACTCAGACAGTCACACACAGTCACACACTCACACAGACAGTCACTCACACACAGACAGTCACACACTCACACAGACAGTCACACACAGACAGTCACACACAGTCACAAATTTCCCGGTATCCCGGTGGGCCAGTCCGGCCCTGCCTGCAATGATGCGCAAATGGTAGATCTCCATCTGGCACATTATTGTTGAAGTTCTCCGACAGATGGAGATCTACCTTTTGGCCACACTTTCACTAGATGGGGGCCCAGAAAACATATTTGCACCAGAGTCCTCTCTACATTAGTTCCACCACTAGGATAATCAATGTGAGGTGCCTGGATGAAAGAGCAGGACAACAGCACTTCTGATTCTGAGTCTGTGAGTAAGCAGTTGTATGTCTCTAAAACTGATTGCCATGATGTGTAAAGTTTCTGCCTCTAAAACTGCCATGATATATCAAAATTATGCCTCTAAAACTGCCATGTTATGCCAATTTTATGATCTAAAACTGATTGCCATGATGTGCAACGTTTCTGCCTCTAAAACTGCCATGATATATCAAAATTATGCCTCTAAAACTGCCATGTTATGCCAATTTTATGATCTAAAGCTGATTGCCATGGTGTGCCAATTTTATGCATCTGTTTGCCATGGTGTGCCAATTGTATGCTTCTGAAGCTGATTGCCATGATGTGCTAAGTTTATGCATCTAAAAGTGATTGCCATGATATGCCAAGTTTATGCATCTAAATCTGATTGCCATGGTGTGCCAAGTTTATGTATTTAAAGCTGCCATGATGTTCCAATTGTATGCCTCTAAAACTGATTGCCATGATGTACCAATTTTATGCATGTAAAGCTGATTGCCATGGTGTGCCAATTGTATGCATCTAAAGCAGATTTCCACTGTGTGCCAATTGTATGCATCTAAAGCGGATTGCTACAGTTTGCCAATTGTATGCCTCTGAAGCTGATTGCCATGGTGTTCACTTTTTAAAATACGCATTAAAAGCAAGTGGATCTCGAAAAATGACCGTTTTGAAAAGTGGGTCTCGGCCCATAAAAGTTTGGAAAGCCCGGCTCTAGACTCTAAGCTCATGGGAGCAGGGTCCTCATCTACCCATTCTACCTGTAACACTTTGTAATTGTCTCATTTATTGTTAAAGTTCTCCCTGTTATAATATTGTAAAGGGCTGCGGAATAAGATGGAATAAGGAATAATATAATTACTACTACTAATAATAATAATACATGTGCAAGGTTGGTGTGAAATGTATCAATGATATTTGAAAATTTTAATTCTAGCATATATTAAGCCTATGAGATTTGGGACATTGAACATTATAGCTTTGTCAGATGTATATTGATTTAAATGTCTTCTGTAAAACACCTTTTTACCCAAAGAGTCACTTAAAATATTTTTTGTTCAGGTACATCCAGGGTCTACATGTGCTGTATTTGGTTTGGGTTGCGTTGGACTTGCGGCTGTCATGGGTTGTAAAGCAGCTGGTGCGTCCCGTATCATTGGAGTGGATATCAACAAGGACAAGTTTGACCTGGCTAAAGAATTAGGAGCAACTGAGTGCATCAATCCCAAAGATTATGATAAAACCATTGAACAAGTACTTCAGGAGAAAACTGGTGGTGGTTTGGACTATGTATTTGAATGTGTTGGTAACACAAACACTATGGTATGTGCATCACACCTTACTATGAAGAGCAAAATTACTTATTATTCAAGGATTACTTTGTAGCCTGACAAAAAGTTTTCTGACATTTCACTTTCCATTCCATAGTTCTGAAGGTTGCCTACCCCATCCCAACTTTAAATACATATTTACTAGTCTACATTTTTCTATATTTTGTCAACTCACTATAGCCCTCAAAATCCATTTTCCCTCCAGGTTGCAGATTGCTTCAGAATCATAAATGTGTTTTCAAACAATAATTGCATACTTTTTACATTGCAGGTTGCAGCAATAAAGTCCAGCCATTTTGCATTTGGAACGACTGTAATTGTTGGCGTTTCTGATAAAAATGAAACGATTACCATTGATCCAATGATTTTTTTGACTGGACGTAAAATGGCAAGTTCTATTTTGGGAGGTATAGTATTTTTATCTCACTATAATTTATTTTTTACATACCACCAGCAGATTCTACTACATTTTACAGTGTAACATAATTACAAACAAGTTGATGTTTAATACATGTTTTATAAAGTTTACTATACCATATATTTAGCTATCTACTACTACATAAGCACACAGAGACTGTTGCAAGTTGATAATGTAGTAGCAGGTACCCCCAGGCATTAATAGGGTTGTAAAAGAAGGAAGCATGTTACAAGGACAATATGTGGTAGGAAGCATTAAGGAGTATTGGAAAACAGGAGCAGCACAGGCAACGTCATAAAGGTAAGAATGTCAAAATATATCAAGAGTCAAAGTAAAGAATTCCTATACGGAACATAGAGAGGAGGTGGGAGAGTATTATTCATTATTACATTCATTAGAATTAGATATTTTTAACACTGCAGTTTTAAGGTTGTATGCACTATTATCACTAATGTACCCATATGTATTATTGATTATGTTACCAGCACTTCAACTACTGTCTAAAAGATTGAGAAACCCTTACTATTTGGTCAGTCAGTAAAAGTATTTATAAAAGAGATACATTGGTAATAAGCCAACAGGATTCATAATATATCAAACCTCCAATTGTTTGCAAATGACAATGCCACTGAATCTTTACCAGCCAAGATTCAAAAATCTCAAGCGTGTTGCAGTTTGCTAGCCAATTGAGGCCCAGCATTTGAAAATAAAGTAAACGAGAGAAAGAAAATATATGGTGAAGCCAAGACTCAAAATTGTACATCTTATACTACTAGTCAGCCTGATAATGGACTTGCCTTTGAAAGTTTGGGTCCATGACAACTTAGCAAGGTAGAATTCAGGGCTGAATTTTCATTCACCTAATGGTAGAGAGGAAATATTGATCCCTGGTAAAACCGTGATTAAATACAGTACACAGAGTCTAACAGTATCCTCAGCTTAGTAATAGCTTCTCTTTGTATAATATAATGTGTAGAGCACAGTTTTCTGATGGATGATGTTAATTCTTGTGCTATCCCCTTTGTGCTTTTAAAAGCATAACTCATTCAATATTTCAATCAACTCAGATCTTGAAAATTAACCTGAGTATAATTTACCTTTACAGAATAATGTTCATTGAGATTTCAAATCTGTTAAAGGTAGGTTGAAGCTAAAGAATAAAACCAATGTAGAAGTCAAATGCTTAAGGCAAATCACAGGCAGCTTTATATTACCCAACACATGGAATATACGATATATGTAAATTAGTTATATATGTTTACTTTTAACACAATAAATTTGTTATTTAGGGTTGAGGGTCAAGGATGCTATCCCAAAATTGGTTACCGCTTACATGGAAAAAAAGGTTGATGTGGGCAAGCTGGTGACACACAGACTACCTTTTGAGGAAATCAATAAAGGATTTGACCTTTTGCAGTCTGGTAAAAGGTATTTGTTTTATACTTGCGTTTTGTAAGCTTAAATTAACTAAATATCAGTTTCATCTCTTGTGCTTTGACATCACACTGATATCATATAGTGGAATATGACAAACTATTTTACTTCCATGAGCTATGGCTAGTGAAATAAGCAAATCCCTTAAGGGGCCCTTACTGACCACTACAGAGTATTGAAGGGTTAACCTACCTCTAGAGGCACTTCCAGATGGTTAAGTGACTTTTGGTCACCTACCTGATGCTGGACATCCTCATGCTCTGGCTGAGAACATCCAGCATCTCTAAATCCCCATTGGAAAACATGAAGCAATGCTTTCCTATGGGCTAGTCCTGATGTGAGTGTGGTGCTCAGCGCACATGCACAGGTCCCACTGCCGGCTGATGTTGGTGGAGGAGTGGAGGCAGAGTCTGACCCAGCCCCGAAGGACATTGGTGCTGGACTGAGGTAAGGGACAGAAGGGTTTTTAACCCTTCCAGTGCTGAAGGTGCATTGTTCTATAGTGGTAGGAAAACAAGTTTGTTTTCTTAGCACTATAGTTTCCTTTTAAGTAATTCACATTTGCTAAACTACAAGAACATATTTACTGCTGTACAATCATTAAATTAGCTATAGTGTAATTTGCTATTTCAAATAAGACAGCTATATAATTACCCTTAATGGATTTTGCTTATTCCACATGCTTCATTTTTACTGAGCACTCGTTTCTTCACTTTGCTTACATGTCAATCTTAGGGTGGGTTGTGTGATTGTAATCTAGAAGGGGGGTAGCCTGCAATGGTTGTATGTTATCTCAGAGATCTGAGATAACTGAGGTATTTAGCTTAGGGTCCATACCTGGCACTGTAGGTTGTCTGTTAGTACTGAGGCAATCTGAGGTATGTGTTTTACTTTCAAGGACAGCTTTTGCTGTTAGGAGATTTATCAGTATTTTAAAGCTTAGTATTTCAGAGTTAGCTTCTGATATTAAAGGATCACCATAGGGTCAGGAACACAAACATCTATTCCTGACCCTGTTAGTGTTAAAACCACCATCTAGCCCCCCCCGGTCCCCTTCTGCCTCCATAAATATAGCAAAATCTTACTGTATTCAAGCCTGAAGCTGTAGATCTGCATGCTTTTTGCCTCAGAAAAACAAGCAGTCTGTCGACATCATCAGAAGTGGTAGCCTGATCCAATCACAGTGCTTCCCCATAGGATTGGCTGAGACTGACAAAGAGGCAGATCAGGGGCACAGCCAGTACAATTCAAACACAGCCCTGACCAATCAACATCTCCTCATAGAGATGTATTGAATCAATGAATCTCTATGAGGAAAGTTCAGTGTCTGCATGCAGAGGGAGGAGATACTGAATGTTTGGATGCATTTTAGGCAGCCATGACCCAGGAAGGATCTCTAACAGCCATCTGAGGAGTGGCCAGTGAAGTTATCACTAGGCTGTAGTGTAAACACTGCTTTTTCTATGAAAATACAGTGTTTACAGCAAAAAGGTAAGGATTCTACACACCTGAACAAATTCAATAAGCTGTAGTTGTTCTGGTGACTATAGTGTCCCTTTAACTGTGTTTATCTCGTTTTTAAAAATTTATCACATTTAATGAAAAAAAACCTATTCTTTCAATCTGGGGAATTTCCTTGCACAAAATGATCTCAAATGGCAGTATATCCTCCAATCACAATATAGCTGTTTCTTTTAATTCACTATTCTGAATCTGTTTCCTGTAAGACACCCCTATGTTGTAATTCTTACTATTGTTTTATCAATTTATAGTAGTATGTCAATGCTATTCTCTTTCAAGTTAATAATCATAGATGCACACTTTTCCTTTTCAATATGCTTTTTAATTAACATCAGCTGGATAACAGGCAGTTTTAATAGTGGTCTAATTGGCATTTCAATAAAAAAAATCTGTTGAGACATGAGACACATTGTTTATCCTACAAACTGTTGTTAATTTGTATCCACAATCCCCAGTTCTCTGTCTACATTTTTCCATGAATTTATTTTCTATTAAATACTTCTGTGTGATGTGAAGTATTACCAGTTTTTGGATTCCCTAGTGGGATACCTCTTCAAGTTTCTGTAGCACTGATACTATCTTAACTGACAACTCAGGGCAGTTTGTTCTAGACTGAATGGTGATTTTGGTATTGATGTAAAAATATTAAACTGAATTATTTATTATATAAACTGCCATTACTTCTTAAAAGAAGACCCTAAGCAAAATAATTACCACATCATGCTGTAATGATTATGGCACCATTAGTGCCCTAGCACAACCCAATATAAGTAGGCAAACTGTTTGCTAAAGGTTTCACTTCTTACCTGGAGTCTGCTGGGCACAGGTCTCTATCACGCTCTGGCTGAGAACATCCAGTTTACTACTTGAATTGGGAAGGCACCAAGGAACTCCAGGCACCATATCCACTACAGCGCTCTTGAAGTACTAAAAATGTGTAACTACAATGTTTCATTACTGTTTTGCTTTGCCTTTTCAGCATTCGAACTGTTTTGTTATTTTAACAAGAGTCAACAGAGGAATAAGATCACTTCTACCAACTACTCACTCTACATACATTTTCTTTGAAATTCAGGATCTGAAAGCATTCTTATACAGCAATAAGCTACAAATAAAATAAAATTCCTTTTTTGTTGTTATCTTCTATTGTGGTTAAAGGACAACTGACATCACATTTTTACAAAGTTTTTTTTTTACAAATGTATTACATTTAATGAAAAACATTTTTGCACATTAATTTTATTAAAAATTTAATTTTTCTGTCTGTCTATCTTGTTGAGCAACCATATTGAGTCCGATTCTACAGTTATATGACTGGTTCGCAGCCAGAATTTTAAAATCTGGATGTAAATAGATTTTGTGATCAAAGTCCCAATTTTACAATGTCTCAATATGCAAATGGATGCTTTTGCAACATTTAGTATGGGGTCATTTGAACTTTACTGAACAAACTTGAACAGGAAAACTGTTTAAATATGACTCTCTTATCTTTCTAGAGAGGAACCATGAACTCAGGAAACTTGCCGTCCACCCTAAAAGTGCTCTGTCATGTGCTGTATAATGTTCTCCGTTTTCTCTTTCAAGTGGTTAGCTGGAACAGATTCCTCTTCACAATGCACCTATTGAGGGTAACAAGGAAAAAAACAGTTGGGCCCTGCTTGGTCCCTTTATCTTGGGACAAGTTAATACAAGAGCTAGGCCTGAGAGCTACAATTGCCTTTATTAAAGGACCACTATAGTGCCAGGAAAACATACTCGTTTTCCTGGCACTATAGTGCCCTGAGGGTGCCCCCACCCTCAGGGTCCCCCTCCCGCCGGGCTGGATGGCGAGGAAAGGGGTTAAACTTACCTTTATTCCAGCGCCGGGCGGGGAGCTCTCCTCTTCCTCTCCGCCTCCGATCCTCCTCTTCGGCTGAATGCGCATGTGCGGCAAGAGCTGCGCGCACATTCAGCCAGTCTCATTTATAATGCTTTCCTATGGACGCTTGCATCTTCTCACTGTGATTTTTACAGTGAGAAGCACGCAAGCGCCTCTAGCGGCTGTCAATGAGACAGCCACTAGAGGATTTAGAGTCTGGATTAACCCATTTATAAACATAGCAGTTTCTCTGAAACTGCTATGTTTATAAAAAAAAGGGTTAATCCTAGCTGGACCAGGCACCCAGACCACATCATTAAGCTGAAGTGGTCTGGGTGCCTAGAGTGGTCCTTTAAGGCAGTGGCTGATCGTAGTATAGGCAGGGGTGTGGATACCTGCCTGGGTAAGGAGCTGAAGAAGAAAAGGCAGTGTGGATAACCATAACCATAATAATTGCAAATACATAAAAAAAGATAAGGTTCTCGACTGCAGGCTAGAGGCAAGCATGGTAGCCCAGCTGATGTTGGCAGGAACAGAATGGAGCTACAATGTTTAGAGCTGAATAGAACACTCTTAGATCAGAGGATAATACCAATACATGCAATTTCCCCCTGTAAAAAGGTTGTCCCTACGTGACATGGATCTGATGTTTATTCTACTTAGTAGACCTTTATTCTATGATCATCCATTTAAGTTTCTTGCCTTATTGAATAAACATGTGCCCATATTATGCAATCACCCCAGCCCCAACACTTACATAAAAATTATCATAAGCATAAATGGTGCCAGGGCACTCCTGACACCAGCACATTAGGATTAGAGTATACATGCATTCAATAAGCTGTGGACTGTGACTCTCATTACTCTTAGACACACATATGTTTTCTGACCCAGGAGTACCATACATTTGCACACTGCTATACTAGTGTCAGTGCTTTTAAAATGGCCCAAAATGTGAGATACCTTGTATTTTTCTCTTTCGCATGGCATTCAATTTCATTGAATTTGTGAATTCTTAAGGTACACCAAATTGTGACAATATTATTAATATTTTAAATAAATGATACATCAACCTCATTCTGTTCTCTAATTTGGTCCTGTAACTTCACAAAAATATGGTAAAGGTAAATATAGAGCTATAAGATATGTATCTGCGCACAAATTTAGACATTTTTACTGCAGTAACACTCCTCATGTTTATGCACCTAACTGCAAATAAACTATGGCCTTGTGGAAATTGGCCAAAAATGAATACAGCAAATTTAGAAATAAAATGTTGGAAAAAAATTGCACCATGAGAACTATACCCAACCCTCCCAACTGTCCCAATTTCAGTGTGACAGTCCCTAGTTTAGGGTCCTTTCTGTCCTGTCCCACCAGGGAACTGTCACCAGAAAGTGAAGTGTGAGTGCATTTTTATACTTAGACGGCATTAGAACAACAGAGAGTACTGAAATAGGGCTCTCTGCATGGTTCACCGTTAGTGGGCCGGTCTGCATGATTGGCCAGGTCTGCTCCACCCACCTTTTGGTGGCATTAGTGATGGAAATCATATCACTACCCCTTCCTTTTTTTACCTCCCCCACTGCTGGTGGGTATGTATACTCCCACGTATTTTGAAAATGGTATTTATGGAGTCATTTAAATTTATGAGCTCCTATAATGTCCACAAATAAGATATATATTGAGAAAATGTATCTGCTAAAATTCCATGATTGAAAACTAAAATGTTCAGGTCACCTATTTGTGTTTGCAACTTCACAAAACGTTATCAAAGGTATGCATCAAGTCAGTGATGTAACCAGGGCATGCAAATGAACACGTGTTGGTATTAATTCTGATACAAGATGTGTGTTTGAAATATGAATAAAAAAATAAAAGTTAAAGGTTTTGGCACAAATAAATGGCAATACACAATTCTTCTCCAAAACATTATTTATAAAATGTTTAATAGAAGATAAGCACTTCATTTACATATCTCCCCCTCCCTAAAATATTTATCTACTAATGGGCTGTAGCTGAAGAGAAGTTTGGTAATTTTTGTGCCTTAACTTAATCTTGTGCATGCAATCCACAGATGATAATAATAATGCAATCAACAGAACATAGTTATGTGTATGCAAAAATGCAGGTACAAAAATATAACTATAAGAATGGTGGTAAAAAGTACTCATTAAAGGAGAGAGAGAATATCTCATATCAAATAATTTTGTTTGTCCACTTTTGAAAAATGTATTGTTTTATTGAGATTACAACAAAACAAACGCAAAAAAGAAAAAACAGATGAGGGAACAAGATGGGGCACAAACAAGGGAGTGTATCCCTGTTGCATCAGACCTTAGTAGACACAGTGAAGAAGTATCCACCAAAAGATAATTCCTATTAGAAATGATCTATGTCTCTTGTATCCATTAGGCATGCTTGGAGTGCAGGAAACCTCCTTGATCCAATCCTGTACTAATTCACTAATTTCTGTAAGAAGTATAGGATGAAAGAGTAACTATTTGGATACAAATTCACTGAGTACTAGCTGTATCATACAGTATATAGAAGAGAGCCAGATAAACAAATATCTCTCTATATAGAGTGACGATATACATACGTGTGATACGTTAATCAGAACTATTTCATAGGAACTGCTAGTCTGACTCAGACTTGGGCAGAGTCTACTAAACTTCCCGTGTGTGCATGCTGCTGTATAAAGGTAACGCTCTCCTACCAGAAATGGCAGTATTCAGTGGCGTACACATGATCCATAGGGGCCCAGGTGCGAAAATTCATCCGTGGGCCGCAACACATGGCGGCGGGCACCTGGCCGCAGGGCTGTGACCCCGCAACCGCGGTATGCACACACACTTAAAGGACCACTACAGACACCCAGATCACATCAGCTCAATGAAGTGGTCTGGGTGCCAGGTCCCTCTAGTTTTAACCCTGCAGCTGAAAACATAGCAGTTTCAGAGGAACGGCTATGTTTCACTGAGGGTTAATCCAGCCTCTGGTGGCGGTCTCATTGACAGCCGCTAGAGGAGCTTCCGCGATTCTTACTGTGAAAATCACAGTGAGAAGACACTGAACGTCCATAGGAAAGCATTGAGTAATGCTTTCCTATGGGCGGTTTAAATGCACGAGTGCCTCTTGCTGCGCATGTGCATTCGGAGCTGAGAGGCGGGGGATCCCCAGTGCCAAGGGAGTCCAGCGCTGGAGAAAAATAAATGCTGAAGACACACTCTCACGAACAGACGCATACACACTAGCTAACAGACACACACATTTACTGACAGACACACTCAGCGACAGACAGACATACACACTCACTTACAAAACATACACTTTCACTGACAAACACACTCACTAACAGACATCAAACACAATCAGTAACAGACACACACAGTAACACACTCACTAGCAGACACACACCCAATAACAGACACACTCACATTTTTTTTTTTTAACTTGAATCCCTCCAGCCTCCTTACCTTTTGGAGAGCTGAGGGGATTCCCTGGGGTCCAGTGGTGCTGCTGGGCTCCTGGTCCTGTGGGCGGGCAGGCAGGCAGACAGGCGCACGAGGGAGCACTGTCCCTTGTGTGCTTCCTATTCAGCTCCCTCGCGCGCCACGTAGGGATGCCAGCGCCGGAAGATGACTTCATCTTCTGGCTCCGGTAGTAGTGCGGTGCCCGAGGGAGCTGAAGAGGAAGCACATGGGGTATGTACGCCACTGGCAGTATTGCAAGTAACGGTGACTCAGATTGGGTGAACGGAAAGGGTAAAACAAAACATTGTTCAGATGGTGATAAAAGGTAATTACAGATATAAATCCCAACAGTTAAACCTACTGGGTTTGTTACTACGATAGAAGACTACTATTATGCCTAAATCCTATTCCATCTTACCTCAACTCAAATACCTTAGTTAGCTCACACATACATTAATGGCCTTTGCTGGACTGCAGCAATGCTGGATGGAGCATGTATTAAGTGGCCGGGAACCCTTAATTTCCTTTAACCATGTAATACAGGTATTAATACAGGCAAACATCCTGAATGTTATTATTATTAGCATTTATATAGCACTAACAATTTACAATTACAAAAAGGGGATGTGATGGATGTCCATACTCCGACTGAGTACCTCTGCCCAGTCTGCTTCCTACTCACTTTCAGGGATTCTGGCCGAAGCTTGACTGGGGTCTCCAGGAACGCTTTCATCCAACCAGGTTGCAGCTCTTTACTTCTAGGCAAGTATTGTCCACACTGCCTTTTCTTCTTCAGCTCTTTACCCAGGCAGGTATCCACACTCCTGCCTAAACTACGCTCAGCCACTGCCTTAATACAGGCAATTGTATTAACTTGTCCCAAGATAAAGGGACCAAGCAGCCAGCTAACAGTTCCAAAGACTCTGTTACTGGGACCCCTGAATTAAGCAACCAGGAATCCAAAAGGAACTAGCACACAATTCTTTATATTGAACCAGCCTATGGGGAGTAGTCATTAAACCTGTGGTGACAAACCTTTAAAATACAAATATAAAGAATATTGGAGAATGAACAATTCTGAATGATACATGAACTATATAATACAAGTAACATTTTCAAACACAACAAAAAGCAACAATATATGCATTTAACTATGTATTTGGTTGCCCTAATTTGCATACAAGCATTATGTAAATATAAATACTTCCATTCAGTCATCAGAGGGCACTGCAGGGTTATCAAGTAACAATGAATAGTTAGTTTTTTTAATTGTTGCCAGTTGCTATAGTTTGTTTTTCAATTGCTCTTGGGTTCAGGTCCACAGTCTGTGTGGAAGAGGCTTGCCATCAAGCCTCTCCAAAAGGCCATTGCATGGGAGCTTCTGTCACAGGGGACATGAAAGTATACTATTAAGTGTCTTGCTCAGGGACGCCTACTGGTCTGACCTGTATTTGAACCAATGCCCAGGTCTTCGGCATTGATCTAAGCACTGATCTGACCTGGTGATACAGGATAATCTACCTCAACTTCCCCTAATATAGAAAGTCCATATACCTGCAGAATACCGGGAAAAAGAAAAAGAACAGAAACATAATCAAATACGAATAGTAAGACAGTGAAAGCTCTCCAAGAAAGGTTAAACAAAACCAAACACAACCCCCCTTTGGCTGATGAAAGGAAAAGCCACACACCTTGATTTTTTTTAATAATACTAAATAATAGTCATATTAAAAATGCGAGAAAAAAAAATATATTGAATTCATCTTTTTCTAGCTACGAGGCTTCCTCAGTGCTACTTCCCTCTCTAACTCCCAAAACACCACAGAGAAGACCAATCATAGAAGAGCACATGAGTGGTGAATTCCGCACCCACAGGAAAGCACTGAATCAGTCATTCAGTGGTTTTACACTGTAGTTCAGCCCAGTGTCTTGGAAAGTCTGGAGGTGTAAATATATAAAGACAAAGTAGTCCCTATTTTGTCTCTGTATATCTCCTCACTGAGTTAGAATTTCAGTGAAATTCCAACACTGTCAAAATTTGTATTTCATAAAGATTCTAGCTTTCAGAGGCGGGTGACAGTGCCACTTTAAGATATCAAATCCACACCTACATAATTGATATAACCTGTAGTTGCAGATAAAACACAATGAACTTGCCACAGTGTGTTTAATTAACATGGCAATACATATTAATGCAACCTATGTGAAGAATAATTTAACAGATACTGAAAATAAATACCCTTCATTTAGTTAGCAAAGATACAGTTAAATCATGCCAAGCTTAAGCTATTTTGCAGTGTGCACCTGTCTCTTTAGCTCTCAACATTAAGATGTGTTATATATTATATATAGCAGCACTAAATCAGCTTTTATTTTTCTCTAACATATTTTAGAATTTGCAAAAACAATTATTGCCAGTATATTTAAAGGACCACTATAGTGCCAGGAAAACATACTCGTTTTCCTGGCACTATAGTGCCCTGAGGGTGCCCCCACCCTCAGGGACCCCCTCCCGCCCGGCTCTGGAAAGGGGAAAGGGGTAATAACTTACCTTTTTCCAGCGCTGGGCGGAGAGCTCTCCTCCTCCTCTCAGCCTCCGTTACGCCCCGCCGGCTGAATGCGCACGCGCGGCAAGAGCTGCGCGCGCATTCAGCCGGCCTCATAGGAAAGCATTTACAATGCTTTCCTATGGACGCTGGCGTGCTCTCACTGTGATTTTCACAGTGAGAAGCACGCAAGCGCCTCTAGTGGCTGTCAATGAGACAGCCACTAGAGGATTAGGGGGAAGGCTTAACCCATTCATAATTATGGCAGTTTCTCTGAAACTGCTATAATTATGAAAAAATGGGTTAACCCTAGAAGGACCTGGCACCCAGACCACTTCATTAAGCTGAAGTGGTCTGGGTGCCTAGAGTGGTCCTTTAAACATGCATAGGTTTACAGTTGTTCTAAACTTAAAATAGCAATAATTAGTTAAAAGGAGATGAAAAAAAGTAGCACCTATTTGTAACATTACTTATTATTATCTTTATATTATTATATATTATTAATCACCTCTTCATTCCCCTAAAATTTTACAAATAGCTGCTGATTGTAAGCTCACGGGCCATCTAGCCAAGCACTTTGTATAAAAGAGCTCCAATGGCTAGATATCAGCTTACGGGCAGGGCTCTCTATACCTCTTGTATTTGTCTGTGTATATTGTATGTTTCCCCACTAATTGTACAGCGCTGCGGAATCTGTTGACGCTTTATAAATAGCAGCAGTAATAATAATCGTTAAGCATTATTTTTAAAGCATTAATTAAGCATATGTAATAAGCATTAATGAATATTATGTTTAGTGTCATTAACTGAAATAATTCCATTCTAGAATATTAAAATACATGCAACTGCAGCAGTACCATTTGGATCATGTGATCATTGATCAGCTGTTTAATAATTAGGGGGAGTGACCAGGAAGTAGAATTACCAGTTGATAGACAGTTTGCTAAATGCTGACTGAGGCATTCTTCAACTTGAAACAAAACTGAGGACAGTGCTGTGACATGCATACTACAGGAACCGTAAGAAATCATATTAATGTAATATGATCTGTAAATTGTGTTTGTAGATCTATTTTAATTTTCATTTTTTTGAATTTCCCTGAAGTGGCCTCTGATTTTAAGAATAAAATGCAATAAATGAGATTAATTTAGGTGATTTTTTTGATGTTGTGCTTAGGGTGTCATTTTTGGTTATTAATAATAGAAACATTCTCTAGAGAATGTTTGTCTCAGTTCCATTCTGTCACTCAGATTTATTTACTAACAGGGTTATTCACTAAAGTGAGAATTCAAAGTGGATTTCAAATTTAAGATCAAAATAGCTGAACTGAAGAAAAACTTAAATGTTTGATAACGTTGTTAAAGTAAAAAGTTCCAAATGCTTAGGAAGTTCAGTGCCAAGGAGACTAACAGAACTCTAACAACGAACACACAGTCGACAGTGCCTCAGAGTTTTGCGCAGCTGTATACAGCAATTATTATTTTCAAAATGTCTGCCCACAGCAGGAAGACATGATGAAGAAGGCCTGGATGTTTTTTTTTTGTTGTTGTTGGAAATAGAATATTTAAGGATATAATTCTAAATGTATGTAAATGGCTAATTGATCGAAGAAAAAAAAATCTGGTTGCCATTATGGAGTCAAGAAGGAATATTGGCCCTTTTTGTGGCATAATTGGAGAAAGCTGCAATTAGTTTTTTTGCCTTCTTTTGGAACAATAGCATAAAGGCCTATATTTTAAAGGTTGAACCTGATTGTCACACACACCTGGAGATTTGTGGAGCTGATGGAACCCAATTGCAGCCGATCAGCCGACAACCTTCCTATCCCTTACCCTTACTATCACAACCTTCAGGAGCACCTACAATGGAGACAGGGTCCCAAAAGGTCTGTGGAGGCTTTTAGTGAATAGAAGAATTACAGGAAGCAGAAGCAGGAAAAGTAAACAAAAATTGCAGTCAGAAGTAGTCGATCAATCTCGATTTAGGTCAGGAAGCAGGCGGGAACAATCTTCCAAGGAACCAGGAACATAAGCTGGAACATAGGGCATTAGGCAGGTATAAAGTAGTGATGTACCGAACGGTTCGCCGGCGAACGGTTCCTGGCGAACATAGCATGTTCGCGTTCGCCACGGCGGGCGAACATATGCGCAGTTCGACCCGCCCCCTATTCGTCATCATTGAGTAAACTTTGACCCTGTACCTCACGGTCAGCAGACACATTCCA